TGGAGGCCGGTGCTATTAGGTTCGAGGCCATCGCTAGTAGGTTGAAGGCCATCGCTTTTGGGTTGGAGGATTGCTATTAGGTTCGAGGCCATCGCTAGTAGGTTGAAGGCCATCGCTTTTGGGTTGGAGGCCATTGCTATTAGGTTGGAGGCCATCGCTAGTAGGTTGAAGGCCATCGCTTTTGGGTTGGAGGCCGTTGCTGCCGTTGCTCTTAGGTTCGAGGCCATCGCTATTAGGTTAGATGTCTCCATCGCTAGCAGGTTGAAGGCCATTGCTAGTAGGTTGGAGGCCATCGCTAGTAGGTTGAAGGCCATCGCTTTTGGGTTGGAGGCCGTTGCTGCCGTTGCTCTTAGGTTCGAGGCCATCGCTATTAGGTTAGATGTCTCCATCGCTAGCAGGTTGAAGGCCATTGCTATTAGGTTGGAGGCCATCGCTAGTAGGTTGAATGTTTTGAAACACCAAAGGTCCTGATCTATCTTCCTCACTTCACTGCCCCAACTGGCAAAGTACCACGGTTCTGTTCTTTAAACGAAATTCCTCTGTCTTCAGCCTCGCATGACTTTCTGCCAGTGTTTGCAGGCACTGAAACACCTACATGAGGACGCTACTAGGAGCAAAGGGCATCGCTACTAGGAGCACGGACGCTACTAGGGGCTCCTGGCCTTACTACTAGTAACAAGAAGCTACTAGTAACAAGGGCATTACTACTAGGAGCAAAGGACCCTACTAGGAGCCTCTGCAAAGATGGACGGCTCATGCTTTGGCCGCCACACCAGGCAGCGCACACAGAAGGTGCGGTCGCCATCGTCGATGTTCCTGGGCGAGGTGCCCAAGAAGCCACGACATGACTTGGCGCTTGGAAGAAAAGCTCCAAGTAGCGTCCTTGTTCCTAGTAGTAAGGCCAGGAGCCCCTAGTAGCGCCCTTGCTCCTAGTAGCGATGCCCTTTGCTCCTAGTAGTGTCCTCTACTCCTCAACAGAAGAAAACTCAAAAAAAAACTGAGAAAGTGGGCCGATTGGAAGAAAGCTGACAAAACTTGCCACAAAATGTGCCAAACCAAAGGACATTCTCTCCGAGGAACGCTGTTAGATCCTGCAGGCTCTCGTTCTGCTGCAGTTTGTGTGCCACTTCGACTGGTAGTGGGAAGCAGCTCTCGGCAGAGCGTCGAATCACCTCGTTCAACAGAAATTGATAGATACACAATTTTATTGTTTAGTTTATGCTCCAACCTACTAGCGATGGCCTCCAACTAGCGGTGGCCTCCAACCTAATAGCTCCATCCTTCCTCCTCGGCCCCGCAAAATTGGCCACACTTTAGCGGTGGTCAAAAGCAAGGAAAGGGAGCAGCCTCTTAGGGAACAACTTCTATCTGGTCTGCCTTGTTTCTAATTGATTAATTAGGAACCGATTCTTGATGTCCTCTCCAGAAGGTCAGGGGTATCCCCTCTCCCTTATTTTGGCCAACTTGCTTCCTTCATCTTGATAAGTCGATAAGTCAGTGATGTAGCGGAACGTCCAAATGAATTTTAGGAGATGCTGCTTTGACAGTTGAAAAAAACAATGACCCAGTTCCAATCTTTTGGCCAAGTCACACCGGGATCTCCAAACAGAAGATAAAGCAAACATATCAATGCAATTCCCGCCTCTCAGCGAAGCATGCTAAAGAGCACCACTGGTTTCAACCCCCAGCACCACCCACATATCAAGTGCAACTCCATTGCTCTGTTGAATCTTTGTGCGTCTCTCTCTCTCTCTCTCTCTCTAGAGCTACTAGGTACTAGTAGCGTCCTTGCTCCTAGTAGAAATGCCCTTTCCTACTCGCAGCATCCTCTTGTTCCTAGTCGTAAGGCCAGGAGCTCCCCGTTCATAGCATTCTCTCTCTTTCGCCTCCACATAAATGGCCACAAAGAAGATCCACCAAAGCTTCGGCGTCAGCAGTGCTCTTTGGCTCAAGTTGGGCAACGCCGTGAGTACAAAGCCCTGCGTTCCGCCTTGATCGGTTTAGTCGACCGGACCGGACCTCTTTGAGCAGCTTTCGAATGAGGAGAATCTGAAAGAGAGAATCATGCTTTGAGGGCTAAAGGTCCAAATGAAAATGAAACACATAGAAAAGGTACCAACTTAAAACCTCAACCCTTTAGTGTTCTCGTACAAGAGTCTTTTTAAAGTACAGGCTATCCGACTATCCAAAACCTGCTGTCTGAAAGCGTTCTTGTTTGCATGTTCCTTGCGAAGCTAGATCCAGAGCCATACCAGTTTTGTGAGTCTCAGGAAGCTGATTGGTGAGGGTGAGTGGCCCACAGCCAGGGCGATCTGCGCAGCAACGTAAGCGGTGCCACCAAGCGACTGCCTTGGGACACGAAAGAAGTCGCCCTTGCTCCTAGTAGCGTCCTAGTAGTAAGGCCAGGAGCCCCTAGTAGCCTCCTTGCTCCGTTCGTAGCGATGCCCTTTGCGGTTTGCTAGGGAAGCAGCCACAAGGAGCAGGGGACTAGCAAAGAACTGATTGAAACACCCCAGCCACAAGGAGCTTTCTCTAATGCCTCTAGGGCGGGCTGGTTTCTGATCTTGCAGGATCTGTATTCCACCAACTCCAACTTGATGAAATCTCATCACATGCCGGTTGTTGAAGTGTGTTTGCATTGCTTTCCTTCACACCTTTCCATGTATCCTTAACTCCATATGTAGCCTCTTCCAATCTTTCTCCAAAGAAATGAGTAAACTTCACCAGAGCTGCACTAGTGCCCAAACACAAGCAAGAGTTTCACCAAATAGATATTAGAAAGATATAGTTAATTGAAATAATTGGTCTGCTGGGGGATAGCAAGGTCCTACCATCCCAAGTCAGCGTCAAGTCCGAAGGGGGAGCATTCCAAGGAACAAAAGCTTATCCCGAAGAGGCTTCGGAAGCGGAGGCAAGTCCTGGCATGGCCATCTCAATCTCAGCACTCGCGGACTCAGGGAATTTGGGAAACATCTGTCCGGTGGACATCGGTGCGAAATTGAACCAAATCATTTGTGCCAGCGCTATCCTGCGTCCTAGCTAGGAGCTTTCTATTGCTAGTAGGGCGTTTACTCCTTACTCGATTAAGTAGGCGCCTACTTATGTATTGTATACAAATTAAGGAGGCAGGGCCTCGGGCTTTAGAAAGAAACGATGCTCTTTGCAGTTGAAAAGACATCGTAATTAAAGGCATTGGCACAGATTCTTACAAGTCTCAGCGATATATTCTTCATCATTCTTCTCTCCCCATATTCAGAACTTGCACCCTCGAACTACTGTTCAACAGCTCGAAAAAATCGAGCTGACGGGGGCGCGACTATTGTTGCACAGACATTCTCCATTGTGCAGGTCACAGACATTCTCCATTGTGCAGGTCTTCCTACTGGAGAGGTCTTTATAAATCCTGTGGCCTGGCCTCCAGGCGCCAAGTCGTTGCTAAGCCTTCCAGGGCTTCTTCCTCATCCACCTGCGGCTTCAACCGATGGCCTCCAACCTACTAGCCGTCTTGTTTCTTGTGCCCTTGATCCGTTCATAAGGCCAGGAGCCCCGTTCGTAGCGTTCAGGGCTACCCGTGTTCGATCCTTGGAGTTCCCGTGTTTCTCGTCGGCCGGTGGACCGACAGCGGAGCCTCCTAGTCACAAGGAACAGCAACAACTGGGGTGAGAAAGCCGGCGTTGGGAGCTTCCATTGGGTTTTGTTGCTAGCAGTCTCCTTCCGTTCATCGAAACCAAGACCCTCACTTGGCAGCCATAGATGTCTGGCACCATGGCTCGGCCACGCATCTCGTCACATCGGAAATGGAAAGAAACAAACAAGAATTCAATAGAATTAGAATTAAAACTAGTAGCGAACATTGCTACTAGTAAGGCCAGGAGCCCCTAGTAGCGTCCTTGCTCCGTTCGTAGCGATGCCCTTTGGTACTAGTAGAAGAACATCAATAAGCTACTAGGAGCAATGTGAGCAGAACTGCTGCAGGTTGGAGGCTGGACGCCATCTACTAGGTTGGAGGCCATGGCTATTAGGTTGGAGGTCGTGGCTGTTAGGTTCCTTTTGCTGCTCATTTTCAGCTGTCAATTCTCCAAGAACTGAGAAAGTCTACTGCATACAAGTGGAACGGGAAGCAGTCCATGTCCAGGTTTGCGTCCACTTGCTTGCGTGTTTCTACGAAGAAAGCATGCCTTCCGCTTGCTTCGTAATCCAGCTGCGAAAGAATAGTTCGTACAATCTTCAATCTTCAAAAGCCCTGTTCGCAATGGTCGTAGTGAATTCTCACAGCGAATACTCCAGGTCGTCACATCCAGGGCGCTGGCGGCACTTTGGGGCAGGCTACATCATTGTTCTTGAAGCAATTATTGTTCATTCGGACCTGAAGCAGTCTCAAGTCCAGCGAATGTTGTGCAAAAAACGTGTCCCTCAAAATCTAGGATCTAGGAACCGTTTCGTTCAGGGAGGGTTCTTTTGCATGCTTGCATCCAGCGGCTTCCCTTTTCCACCTATAGTAACTTCATCTTCCTATCTATCTCTTGCTACTTAGCTTCCAAAAGAAAAATGGGAAAATCCACGCCTGCTCCAAAGTTATTGCAAGTAGGTTGGAGGCCATTGCTAGGTTGGAGCCCATCAAAACTTCCCATCTTTCCTCCCTGCCCGCTGTGCCAAGGACTCCATGATGACCAAATTTGTGGATCTCAGCCGAACAAGACTGAAGGTGAAGAAAAGAAGCAGCTTCCAAAAGCATCGCTTGAAAAAGTAATAAAGAATCAAAAAATAGAAAACAAATGCCAATACCGAGCTTGATCGTCTTCATCAAGTCCAAAGACATGTCAATGTTGGTTGCATCGGTAGAAGAGTCACAAAAGACACTGATTCAAGTCTTCATAGCTGCTAGGTTGGTGGCCATTGCTACTAGGTTGGAGGCCATTGCTGCTAGGCTGGAGGCCATTGCTACTAGGTTGGAGGCGATTGTTATTAGGTTGGAGACCATTGCTATTAGGTTGGAGGCCTTTTGCTATTAGGTTGGAGGCCATTGCTATTGGGTTGGAGGCCTTTTGCTATTAGGTTGGAGGCCTTTTGCTATTAGGTTGGAGGCCATTGCTACTAGGTTGGAGGCCATTGCTATTAGGTGGGAGGCGATTGTTATTTGGTTGGAGGCCATTGCTACTAGGTTGGAGGCCATTGCTACTAGGTTGGAAGCCATTGCTATTAGGTTGGAGGCCATTGCTATTAGGTTGGAGGCCATCGCTAGTAGGTTGGAGGCCATTGCTACTAGGTTGCATGCCATGGATACTAGGTTGCATGCCACTGCTACTAGGTTGGAGGCCATTGCTACTAGGTTGAAGGCCATTGCTACTAGAATGCATGCCATTGCTGGCCATTGCAAACAGGTTGCAGGCCATTGCTGTTAGGTCGGAGGCCATTGCTATTAGGTTGGAGGCCATTGCTATTAGGTTGGAGGCCATTGCAATTAGGTTGAAGGCCATTGCTGTTAGGTTGGAGGCCATTGCAAATAGGTTGAAGGCCATTGCTATTAGGTTGGAGGCCATTGCTATTAGGTTGGAGGCCATTGCAAATAGGTTGAAGGCCATTGCCATTAGGTTGGAGGCCATTGCAAATAGGTTAAAGGCCATTGCTGTTAGGTTGGAGGCCATTGCACATAGGTTGAAGGCCATTGCTGTTTGGTTGGAGGCCATTGCAAATAGGTTGAAGGCCATTGCTCTTAGGTTGGAGGCCATTGCAAATAGGTTAAAGGCCATTGCTGTTAGGTTGGAGGCCAATCCAAATAGGTTGAAGGCCATTGCTGTTAGGTTGGAGGCCATTGCATCACCCCCGCCAACAGCCGCGGTGCCAGAGTCTTGCGGAAAAGTGGAGGCCATTGCAATTTGGTTGGAGGCCATTGCAAATAGGTTGAAGGCCATTGCTGTTATGTTGGAGGCCATTGCTATTAGGTTGGAGGCCATTGCTATTAGGTTGGAGGCCTTTTGCTATTAGGCTGGAGGCCTTTTGCTACTAGGCTGGAGGCCTTGTGCTATTAGGCTGGAGGCCTTTTGCTATTAGGCTGGAGGCCTTTTGATATTAGGTTGGAGGCCGTTGCTATTAGGTTGGAGGCCTTTTGCTATTAGGTTGGAGGCCATTTGCTATTAGGTTGGAGGCCTTTTGCTATTAGGTTGGAGGCCGCTTGCTATTAGGTTGGAGGCTTGTTGCTATTAGGCTGGAGGCCTTTTGCTATTAGGCTGGAGGCCTTTTG